TCTAATAATGTAAGAAGTACTCAGCTTATAGCCACTTCAAGTACAATTTAAATAACACTCTTCAATACAGTTGTTCATCCAGAATTTCTAAATAATGGTTTCTGTCAGAAGTCTCCCTATGATAATATTCTTGGGATCTTGAATACAGAGAAGAGATAGAAACTCCTACTCCTCAAAGCTACAGAGAAGTCACAGGCTGAGTGTAGAGCACATGCTGTCTAAGAAAGCCCGCAATTCCAGAGTAGACCTTCCATCCCTCCCTAAGACTGCCACTGACAACAGAGACCAAAACTTCAGGCTTCCTTTAAAAGAAGCCATCTTTACTGTGGGGTTTTTTTTCCTGTATTTAGGAGATAAGTCATCAAACCGTAAAAGAGGAAAATAAGCAATAGTAAAAATCTTGGATATTTGTTTACAATTATAATTTTCGTAACACATGATTTATGCTTTATTCATTCATATATATGTATTTAAAGTGTGTATGCATGCAAAACTTTCCATTTCTTTTAGTATAATCATAAATTATATTCTAAGTGTACAACCTACTGAGTCATGCCAAACTGAGCATGGTGGTGCACACCTTCAATCCAGGCACTTGAGAGGCAGAAGCAGGTGGGTCTCTGGGAGTTGGAGACCAGCCTGGTCTACAGAGCAAGTTCCAGGACAGCCAGAGCTATACAGCAGAGAGACCATGTCTCAAAAAACAAACAAACAAAAAACATGAAAGTGTTCTTATTTCTCATGGTAAAAGCAGTTTAAAATGCTAGGATTAAGAAACTTGTAGAGACTGAAGGTTGTAGCTTCTTTAAGAACAAATCTCCCTTAAAGTCTAGTCTCCTTGCAGTTTAATAAAATGGAAATATTTCCTGCTTAACCTTTTCTTCCTGTTTAATGTACTTATGTGAGAATAAATCAAAAGCCCTCTGTACATGCCACAAGTAGGAAACATTACTGACATTGTTATAGAGTCCTGACACATGACTAGAGCTGTATATTGGATGGATGGATGCTCACTTTGTAGCCCAAACTAGCCTGGCATTAAAACTCTTGGGTCAGCTTCCAAACTGCTAAGATTACAGGATATGCAAGTGTATCTGGCAACAAAGATATATTTCCTGCTTTGGAATTGAAAACTTTCCTAGAGCAGGGTGTGGTGGAGTACACCTGTAGTTCCAGAAGATCCTGTGTTCAAGGTTAGCCTGGACAGGCTAGAAACAGTGGGAGGGGAAATTGTGGAGACAGAAGCTGGTGTGTACAAAGATGTGCACCAAAATTTAAACTAGTACAAAAATACTACATTGGTTATTTATATTGGTTACCTTGCTGACAGCGGAGCAGAAGAGTACATGAAGAGTTCCTTTGAGTTTTACAGTTCCTAGAAGCTCATCAGAACTATTTGTATAGTTATAGTCCTTACATTTGGATATATTGTAAAGGTTCATACTTCATAAAGTATTGGACATACTTTTAAATAAATTAAGTTCAGGAAATACGTAACAGCATTTGTACCACTATAGCATGAAAATAAATAATTCTCAGCTCAGATGTAGAAGAACCTTTGGGTTACAGTGTATTTATATTCTTTAAAGCCCTAATAAAGTAAATAGGGGCAGATGGTAATGCCCCTGTAAACTGTAGAAAAGAGAATTCATATTTATATTTTCAGGGCCAGGATAAAACTGGGTTCTAGTTTCTTAACAGCCTGTCTTGAAATTTAAAATTAAAAGCAATTACTCAAAATGTCTACTAATGTAAACTTAGTGAAGTTCAGTTTTTTAAACTATTTCTTTGTGACAGAGCATATGTAGTGTTCCTCATTATTTTCAGAATTGTAATAGCCCTTCCTCTTTTCTGCTTTGCAGAAAGTACAAGGTCAGAGGATTAGTGAGTGATTATATTGCTGTGATTGTAGCACCTGGGGGGCGGGGGTAGGGTGTGTATGTGTAAGGGTTGTGTGTGTGTAGGTGTGGGATGTATGTGTAAAGGGTGTGTGTGTGTGGGTGTGTGTCTGTGTGTCTGTGTAGGTAATGGGGCGTTATTGTGCTAAGACCACTCTTTAGAGCTTATAATCATTCAGGACTGTGGTGGAAGTTTATCACATCTCCTAATTATATGTTTTCTGGACCAAAAATTGTGAAAGTGTTATGTACAGTAGATTGGGTTGGTTCATTTTATGTTACTTAATTTGGCTGTAACAAACGTGGAGAAACTATAGAGAACACTCACTTCAGAAGTTGGGTTACTTTAGGCTATACGTATTTACCAAGCTAACAGTACTTTCTGAACTTCACCCACAAAAAAGGAAAGTTCAGGTGTTAGCCTGTGCTAATATGTGATGGGTTTCCCATTTAAAAGCTCACTCTTTCGCATAGACTTAAACTTCTCATAATTACGAAGCCCATTTTCATCAATGAAGATTTATTGGCATTTTATTAAAAACATTGTGTATTTTATATAAAATGTTACATATCTGGAAAAACTATTTTATAGGACTGTGTGCTATGGCTTAGAGTTCCTTTGCTTTATAAACCTTCATCCAGCACAGATCACCCTTCATTGTGCTTTGTTTACCTAATCTTTTTTTTTTTTTTTTTTTTTTTTTTGCTTTGGTGAATTTGGCACATTGGAGCTATCCTCCTTGTTTTAAAAATATTAACATTTGCTTTTTCTGCCTAGTTTTTTATGTAAACTCTAAATAAGATAAAGTAAAATATTTCATTTATAGACCCTCTAAAGTAGAGCATTTTCAAAGCAGGTAGCTGTCTCCACCCTGCTTTCCATGAAGCGTTTTACCCATTCAAGCAGACTTTTAAAAACAGCTTGTTTTGATAGCAGACTGTTCTCCTGTGGGCCTTCAGCCTTTGCTTCCTGGCAGCGCCTTTGGTGCGAAAAGAGAGTGATCAATTGGGAGACTATCAGTGCCAGCATGCATAGAGTGATAAGTTAACACACCACTGGGAATTTCTAGGGCCCACCAAGATACTTCACTTCTAATGTGCTAACAAGCTCACTTTTCTACCTCTTGCCTCTTCAGTTATTTTTTTCTCAGAAGAGCTTAGAAGTTGAGTGCATCAGGCATAATGAAAAGCTCTGTAGGAGGGAGAAGCAATAACCCCATTTTTCCCTTTTCAGCCAAATAGAAAATTAGTTTCTGGTAATACACAAAGGCCAGTATTTTTTGTACAAGGGGCACTGCTGTGAATCAAAGGACTCTATTAACTGCAGAAAATTCGGCAGCTGTGAATCTCCCCCAATGAAAAAGTACTTTCCAACAAGTTGTGAGATATGTGCTATTATTCAGAGTGAACAGTCAGCTTCATCCTCTTCCATTTAGAGCCGTGTATCTTCTTCTTAAACGTGCTGTGTCACTTTTCTATGTGAAATTTGCCTCTAAATGTCTGCTACCCTTCCATAGAATCCTTCCTTAGCAACAGTCATTTTAATACAGCACCTTGCCCTGCTGCTACCTATTTCAGAAGTAAAATTCTTTCAGAGTTCAACCACAATGTACAGAATTGAAAATAATAAATTATAAGGAGGTGGCATCCAGGTTATTTCAATATTTGATGCAAAAAAATAAATAAATTGTAATCCGAGAAGCGAGAAGACAAGCCATTTTCAAGGCAAAGGATCCATTAAAGTCAAGTCCCAGTGGTGCTCAGTCTGGCCTCTAACTAGCCAGCTTTTTGCCACCTCTTAGTAAACTGTTGTAAATGTAACTGGCTATAATAATATCACTCATTGAATTATCAGTTGAAAATTAGCTCCCAAATGATTTTTCCTAGTTTGAGTCTTAATTCGTAGAAGTATTGAATTGTAATTTTTAAAAGAGAATAACAAATTTTAAGATGGAAATGCTAAAATGGCTTCTAGGGGGGAAAAATCAATGCAAAAAGAAAAGCCACTGGGTGAATTTTCACCGTCCTATGTAAATGTCTTGTATGCGTTTTCATTGTCTTTGTTTAAATATCAACACCGCTCACCAACTACAGCAGGAGAACTTAGACCTGAAGAAGAAACGTCAGGTGGTTTCTCAGTTCAGGAACTGTACGACACGAAGTCGGCATGTGCTTTTTCCTGATAATTGTCTGTTGCTGCCTGCTGCTCTACACTTTGACAGCCATTTCCATAGCTGCTTTCATGAACAACAGAAATATTCTCTCCCTTTCTTGCCCTTTCTATGCTAACAACACAATCAGACCTGCTGAAACAGGAAGCCTGGAGTGGGTTGTTCAAAAGCAACAACACTTGAAGGGACTGGTTGCTTGTCAATAGTATCAGGGAATAATCTGTGCTGAGAGGGAAGTCCAGTCTCTCTCTAGCAGTGTCAGTGTCCTGTAGATGCTTTGTTGGACAGTATTTAGGAGTCCTGTGGACTCTTTGCAAATATTCCTGCTTGTTGTAATTGTAATTTCAGTGTTGTAATTGATGGGGTATTTTTTACTGACACACAGATTCAGCTATGCATTTATCTTAACGGCATGGAGTTATTCGAGGATTATAGCAACAGTAGCCTTCCATTCAAAATGAGAGCAATTGTTGAGCAAATACAGAGACTTTAAAAAATGAAGAAGATATGTAGGAATTTCGCAAAAGTCTTTACAAATAAAAAATGGAGAATTTGGGACATAGTATTTTAAGCGCAGTATAATTTTATTGAATGACTTTTGAGAGTAAATCTGCAGATGAAACTTGATTAACAAGGTAAGAAGGGCTCAGTCTGACCAGCTAACAGTTGAACCTTTTCTCAAACTGTTTAATAATAAACCAGTATTACAATTATTCTCTAGTAAATTCCTGTTAAACTATCATTTGTCATGGAGTCAAGAGAAATAAACTGCCATTAAGAAGTAGACTTTTATACTTTAAAAAGGGGCACTTTTAGTAGTAAGAACAGGAAACAGTTCACTAAGTAAGGATGCATTTGTGGTCCTCTCATAAAATGTGCTTGTTGATAATGTACACTGCATCTCAGTTCACCCTTAACAGAAGGGAATCAGCTATGAGGAGAGAGCACGGTACCTGCAGACAATAGTCCAGCACCACTTAGAGCCAACGACGTTTGAAGACTTTGCAGCACAGGTCTTCTCTCCAGCGCCCTACCATCACTTACCTTCTGATGCAGGTAGAGTAAACAGAAGTACTGACTCCTGTCACAAACTCAAAATGCAATACCCTTTTCTTCTACATACTGTTGAAGAAAATTCTGATCATTGAAATATATTATTTATGGCTATTTGAGTTTGGCCTATAAATTTTTTTTATCTGAATGTGGTTCCTTTAAAAATCCAGTAACCTTCATAAAAGTACATGGTCCACATCACAGTTACTGACTCTTGTGTTTCATGAGATTCCAAAGCAGAGGGAACTCTTAAGAGGATCAAATTTTATGACCAAAGATAATGGTGTCATCATCTCTCACTTTATGAATAAAGCTAAACCAGTCTAGATTTAGAAGCATTGAGTACAGCAAATTTTGTTATAATGTTGGAAGATTTTAAGAGGGTACTGCATTAATACAATTAACTAATTTTAAAGAAATCAGAAAAAAATGACTCGTGGCCTTCCTATTCTGTAATATCTTGCACTCCTTATGATTGTTTCATTTATTTTATTTTCCCTCTTTAGATCATTAAGTATCAGTTCTGTTTATCTGAAGGTAAGACAAAGTGTCAACCAAAGCATCTTTTGTTCTTCTCCCATTCCCTTTTTCCAGAACTAGCAAGCTCTGTGCTTGTAACTCAGACAGTAAGCAGACTTAACACTGCCCTGGTTCATACTAAACATTTCAAACTTTGTCACTAAATTTTCCCCCAGAATTATACTAACTAACCCAGGTCTGCATGAAACACTAACATGGTTTGGGGATAAAGTAACTAATGATAGGACTCCTTGACTGAAACTAGTTATACCCTGTTATATTGACTTCTTTTGTTTGTTATTTCTCAGCATGAAAAGTAGCTGTATTGAACTGACATCATGTGTCTTTGTATTTTTGTAATACATTCTATCTGGACTCATCGTTGGCTTTTCTCTGTGTGCCTTGCACTGCACCAGGCCCCTGAAATCCAGTGATGAGTGTTGTGGTGATGTCCAGGGGAAGCAGAAAGAGCATAATAGGAACTTGGCCAAAATAAACTACTTCTCACTCTTGTTACATCAGATATATCTCTTTATATCAGATAAATTTAAATGCACAACAATTTTTAAACTAATCTGTTTTTAAATAGAATTATAATTCTCAGTTGAAATTTCATTAATGAAATTAAATCTTTTATTTTAATAAATAATTAATTTGCCATCAGAAAAATAATTTTACCAAAGAACTTAGAAACCTTTCAACTAATAGACCTAGCAAAGAGAAAATATGTCGTGTAAGATTAAATCTTTTGAAAATAATATAAAAAGTGTAAGATTCACTTTCATAGATGGACACTATATAGAAGTGATCGGTTTGGCATTAAGATAAAAAGGCAAAAGAAAGGAAAGGTATCAAAGGTGAATTACTGAACAGCAAAATGAAAATTGGTTATGTATACCTGGGTATTGTCATCGTTACTCATCGAGACCATCTCATAAGATGGAAGGCTATATTAAAGACTTTTATAGTTATGACAAATTCTTATCAGAATGGTACTCAGTTCAACACAGTAAAATCTATAATTACAAAACAGTACCTGAAGAATAATTTTTCTTCCATTCATTTCAAATCTTTGTTCTCCTGTCATATTTCACCTCTTACATAGAAAATAATCCTTTATACTTTAAGTCAAAATGAGAGACTTTGAAGTAAGTATTTCAATAATAATTTGGACCTGACTGCTTCTTTACAAAACTGACATAGTATAATGTTTATTGGATTTTTTTTTTGACACAGAGTCTTACTATATAGTTCAGGTTAGCTTTGAACTCTTCTAAACACTAGGATTATAGGCTCGCACCAACCTGCACACGTAGCTAAATTCATTTTTTAATTATAAAGTTTGTTTGCTCCATTCAGGAAATGGATTATTACAATTGAGAATCAACTTTAGATGTCCTGTGTATATAAAACAATACTAATCAATAGTGATATACGTGAAATTAAGTTTTTAAAAATGCTAATATGCAGATATTCCTTGTAACCAACTCTTAATACACTGTATTTAGACTCAGTGGAATAGTATTGAGAACTATATTCATAGGGGACTGGAAGGATAGCCCCGGTGATAGAATGTATGTTTACCAGACTCAGAGCCCTGGCTGAGCTCATTCCCTAACTGGGGGTAGGGGGCATGTATGTGTATTTATATAATTGGCCTCATCTGAAATGTACTGGTTAACAGTAATCGGCTAATAGTGATGACATTTAAATCTAAAAATTTTTTCATGTAACTTTATTTAAATAGATGTGAAAGATTTCAGTGTACCATAATTGACCCATAAATTACATAACTGTGTTTTCTCAAAATGTACTGTCTGTGGTACTAGACTGATAACCTAAGGGAAATTATTTTTATCCCTAAGGTCATTGAGGGAAATACTGTGATGTCACACAATGTTGATCTTCCATAACTACATTAAAACATTATTAAATTTTTCTTGTCCTTTATTTTTTAAAAAAAAGTTACAGGAAATTTTGTCTTATCTTCATCAGGCATGAATGTAGAAAATATCAAAAGTTTTTTATATATATATAAACATATTTCTTTAAACTGTAAATTTGAAAATAAAATTATCCTTGTTCCTGGCCAGATTTCAGTGATAATTCAAAAAATTCATACTTCCCTAATGCTGCCTTGTTTTTTCAGCATTTTCCTGGGGTTTTTTTGTAATAAAAATTATACAATGTTATTGAGAAACAAAATCCTACTTTGCTGTGTACAATAAATACTACTTAGTCTTTCTCAATTTCAGCATTAAAAATATGCCCATAATTCTAGTACTATGTATTTTTATTATATCAACCATAAATATGGTATAGTAGATCTGGAATTACATGTTAGCCTCTAATACTACCTTCTTTTGGTTTTTTCAGCAGCTTAGCTATTCTTTAACAATTAAGGAGTTGACTAATAACCTGATTATCTACATGTATGGACATGATATTTCTATATATACACCATTTTTATAATTGCCTTTAGAAACTGTCAGTCTTGCTGTTCATTCCCATGCTAGGTGTTGCCATATGTAGATAGGTTAGGATGTGTGGCCTTTGGGTCTTTCTTTCTGAATCTTTAAGGAGGGCATGTCACCCAAATTAGACATTATTTTAGGTGTGTTAAGCTCAGTGTCCTTTAAACACTATTTTAAACTTTCCTCCCAGACAGTGAAATAATCTAAAAGAAAATATTTTAGCTCCTTCAGAAGATACTTATATAAAAAAAACTAAACACTGGTTATAAGTGCCAATATAAAAATCAGTTTCCTTCAATATATTAGCATAATCTATAAGTTTGTTTGATTCTTTTAAAAAAACAAGATTCCTATTCAAATTTGTGTGTCATTGGATTAGTCTGAACTTGTAGACAGGCAAATGTGTTCTTTTTCAGTATCTTGAACTTAGAAATTTGACTTTTATGTTATTAACCAGTAGATAAAACTGACTTAAATAGCATAATTTGTGGCAATAATTACTGGGTTCAGTTTTCATATAGAACACTCATTTGAATGTAAAACTTTGGTAATGAAAGTAATAAATAGTTGAGTATGAGACACTGTGCGTACTGTAGTATGTGGACCCTTTCATTACATCTTCACAGCTTGTCTATGCAGTTTTAAAAGGAGAAAGAAATGATACCAGGACCACCTCACAAGTGGAGGTCAGCATGTACCCTGACCCTGCCTGCCTTCAGAGCTCATGGTGTCAATGTCACAGTTGCCATTAGGTCCTTCAGCCCCTTACTGTTGCTAGTGGTGAGGAAGGGGGTGAGGGAGAGAGAGAGAGGAGAGAAGAGAGGAGAGAGAGAGAGAGAGAGAGAGAGAGAGAGAGAGAGAGAGAGAGAGAGAGAGAGAGAGAGAGAGAGAGAGAAATTACTCAGTACCCATCACATTTACAGCTCAGAGACTATTAGAAATTTGTGTTTGTAGAACTCTACTTTTCCACTGAAAAATCCTTTAAAAAATTTTAGGGTTGCCAAGGAAGAAGTATATTTTGAAATCAGACTGATCTGGATTTAAATTGTAGTCCTGACATTTATACTACATGAAGTCAAGTCAATCTGTACTATACCAGTTTTCCCATTTGTAAGGAGGCGAGAAAATACAAGAAGCCTGACCTGGTTTATTCAGGTCTCCAGCAGTAGTTTTTCAGTGCTTAAAATGAAATCACTTGTTTGCCTGTATTTCTGTACAATTTGTTTAGAATAGTGTGTTACTTCCTTTATGACAGTTTGGGGCTGTGTCTGTGTGATCTTAATCATTGACTCTGTAAATGACATTAAAGCAGGAAGTTTGTTAGGGTAATCTGACCTTTAAGGATGTATTTTATAGCACTTTCAACAGAAATGAGGATAAACCCTCTAATTTCTGAAAATTAAACCTAAATGTACGTCACAGATACTCTCCGCATTTGGCTGAGTATATTGCATAGGTAATCATTTATCCAAAACTATTTCTAGTTTTCTACCCTTCCTTGTTCTGACTCAGAGTCTCCTATTGGCTCTGTGACAGCCTTTATGTAGCCATGCTCACTTTGTACCTGCTACACAGCAGGCTCTTTGCTACATAGTCCTTAATCTCCACAACTTGACTGGTCTCCACAACTCTTACTGTCTCCATCTCACAAATAAGAAAATGACTGCAGTCAGCTTGCCCAAGATGAAACCATTCATAAAGCAAGAGGTGGGCCAGCAAAATGACTCAGCAGGTAAGGTGTTTACCACCAAGCCAGACAAGCTGAGTGTGATCCCCGGGGATCGTATAGTAGAGGGAGAGAAGTGACTATCACAAGCTGTCCTCTGACCTCCACATGCCCCATGGCATTCATACACACAGAATAAATAACTAAATGTAAATACATAATTATTATTATTAGAAAACAAGAGTCCAGAAGTACCTAGCCCCATTCTTTCTGACATATTCACATTGTCTCTTAGTTGATCTAACTGAAGTCGCTTTCAAAGTTACAGTATTTTACAGGCTTTGTTAGACACTAACTGTAGGAAGTTTTAAAGTGGCCATGCTTATCAGCAGACAGTATAAACCAAGCCAAAATAAATTTAAGAATCATTTATACTCCTTTTTAAAATGTCTGTGGAGCCTCCCAAAGTCATATCCATGGTATCATCTACGATGGTTTATAGTAATCAGCACGCAGTATACCAGCTTGTACTGTCAAAACGTAGACACCCATCTGTGGAACACTTTGATCGGGTTAGTGCACGGCCATAGGAGCCATGGGTACTTTTTAAGCTACCCTGGAAGGATACAGTGATGACAGAAATAATTTAGTCACATCTTCATTACTCATCTGATGTAAATCAATAATAGGAAAGACTAGGTTGTGACAGGGATAGCAAGAATGACTGTTTTCTTTATAAATCCAAAGCCGAGGCCTGCTCCTGGGAGCTGCTGGGGTAGGGCTCCGCTGAGTCTACTCCGAGGGTCAACTGCACAAGTGTGAGCATGAGACTTACACCAGCCTGACTCGGCTGGTTTCATTTAATTGCATGAAATGAAATTTCATCATTTTAAGGTGGCACTAGCTACCTCATTACGTAGTGCCTCCCTAAAGTTCTTCTGGCCACATTGTGAGGCAGTAGAGAAGACATGGCAGAATGGCTGGTTTTGAAGAAAGTACATTCTAAATAGAGAAGTGGGATATGCACCCTGATGCCCAAAGATGGGCGTCTTTACTGTCATTAAAAAGTAGTGGGGAGCCGGGCGGTGGTGGCGCACGCCTTTAATCCCAGCACTCGGGAGGCAGAGCCAGGCGGATCTCTGTGAGTTCGAGGCCAGCCTGGGCTACCAAGTGAGTTCCAGAGAGGCGCAAAGCTACACAGAGAAACCCTGTCTCGAAAAACCAAAAAAAAAAAAAAAAAAGTAGTGGGAAAAAAACAAAACAGGGCCGGGCGGTGGTGGCGCACGCCTTTAATCCCAGCACTCGGGAGGCAGAGGCAGGCGGATCTCTGTGAGTTCGAGGCCAGCCTGGTCTACAAAGTGAGTTCCAGGAAAGGTGCAAAACTACACAGAGAAGCCCTGTCTTGAAAACCAAAAAAAAAAAAAAAAACAGGAGTTCTCATTGTCAAACTGCCTTCAAGAGTTCAAGAGTTTCAACCAACAAAAACAGTTTATGGAAACATTTTGGTTTTCTCCAAACACTCTTCATTCTAGTACTGGGTTTGAGGATTAAGAATTAACTGGGATGCTTGAAAGCAATTCTCTTCAGTAAAACTTCTGTGGTGATATAAATGTCACGTGTCTGCTCTATCCAAGATGGTGGCAACTGACCAGGTGTGACTCGGTACTTGAAAATGGCTAGTTTAGCAAGGAGTTGAAATTTTCATTTTAATCCATGAAATGTAAACAGTTGTAGCTATTACCTCATTACACTGTCTGTCTAAAGGTCTTATGACTGACGGGTAAGACAACCAGTGCAGTGAAGACATTAGACAGGAGATGTTTCTCGGCTCTCTCACAGACTTTTTTCCTGTTCTCTTTTCCTGTTTGAACTTGTTTTTGTTAGTTGGTAAGTATGGCATCCAAACTGGGAGCATTGGCCATTGTGGGACATCACCACCCTAACTCATTGCATGCCAGTTGTGTTCGGAATACAAACCTGGTTGCTCTCCGTTGCTTGGGTAACGCCTGTAGCACCTGCACAGTCCCCCTCCCGTCTGTGTCTGTCTTCCCTTTTGTTCTCCACTCTGCTCGCTACTGCACTTTTCCTTCACAACAGAAAGCATGCACTGCTGCTTCTGTTCCTTCCAACCCTCGTCCAGAGATGCTGGCCCTCAAGGGAGCAGCGCTGGGAGGGAAGATCTCTCCTCACACAGCAGCGCCTGCACGGCACCAGGGAGCCCAGTGACTGCTCCTCGCTCTCTTCCCCACTCCTGTGCCAGGCTTCTCTAAGTAGGCTGTGGACTTGCATCCTCTGAGTATTCTAGTCTGTGTCCACTATGAGCCAGCTCAGATCATTGGGAGGAGTAAATTTGAGAGAGAGAAAACAAAACAAACTTCCTGCTTTATTTTGTAGGCCAGCCTCATCTGGTTAGGAAAGAAATAGTGGAGAAGATACTTTGAGCAGGCAGTACACAGGTACAAGTGACAGGCGAATGTCGCTTAGAAATGTCTGTCTGTCCCTAAGTATAATTAGACCATTTGGCCTTTCAAAGTACTTTGAAGAATTCTTTGGGGATATGTTCTTAAGATGTCTCAGTAGGGTCTGTACTTATTGAGCATTTTTGTTTTTCTCTTACAAATACGTATATCTTCAATTTAAGCATGAGTGTTTCATTGCATAGAAATACTAGCATCATTATTCCCAAGCCCAAAGTGTCAGTGAGGCTCTGGAAGAAGTGCCCTGTAAATGATACAGGATTTTCCTATTTGACTTTGTTTCGCCTGTTTTACAATTCTGTGTCTACTAATTCTGCTGCTAACTGTAAACACAAAATGAACACAGAAGCATTACTTATGTCTAAAGACATGTTCTAAAGTCGATTTGTCTTATCTGACTGGCTTTCAAATGAAAATTCCTATCTTTTTCCTTCTCTCAAGAATTTGTCTGCTCCTTCTATAACCTCCTTATGTACTAGCATGGTCTCCTGGGGACCTTCCTGTTTGGAGCCTATCATGGAGTGAGAAGATGCTCTCTGGCTGCTCAGTGCAGCTGCTCTTCCTTCCCACCTCCCACGCCCTGCCCTGCATGCTGGCGGTGCTTTGGATCCCTGGTCTTTCAGACCCAAAGATTTTATTTCCCATTGCTTTTTCCAGGGTGCTGGCTCTGGACACGAGGATTGGTGCTTTTTTTAAAAATATGGCATGAGCCACCAGGTCACAGGGGTTCAAATATATTAGTAAACTTTGGGGACTAGCAAGTCTGGGAATTGCTTTTTTTTAACTTCTGAAGTCCTTGTGAAGGGTTGGGATCTTGCTCCAGATAGCAGCAGAAAGGTCGTTACGGTCTGAAAGACTGGAGAATACTAACATGCTCACTCTCTCCTGCAGGATCCTACCCAGAGAGTCTACCCAGTGACGCTCCCACAGCAGCACAGGTAGATGGGGCCGACCTGGCCTCTCCAATGTCTCCTCGAACTAGCAAAAGCCGCATGTCCATGAAGCTGCGTCGGTCCTCTGGCTCAGCCAATAAATCCTAAGGAGACAAACAGCCCAGCAGTGATCAGCAGTAGCCACCCTGGCACAAACGTAGTGTTAACTCTTTCAGGCCTCATGTTTGCCATAACATTCATGTTCCTTCCTGTACACTTATTTGAGAAAACACTGGACTTAAAGTAACTTGCAACTTACTATTTTAAATTTGGACTATTTATTTAGTTCAGGTTTTTTTTTCCACACTCCGTGCTACTGTATTTTGAGGGGATTGAATTTTATTCCATACTCTTCACCTTCCTAGATAATCATGTCTAAGTAGTGCTGCCTTCAATTCATGATTAATGTTGAGCCAAGATATAATTGGACAGATAGTCTTGTGTTATTTATTGTGCCTCATTACAACTTTGTAATTCAATAAATACATAGTTTTTACAAATGTAACCATTTTTTTTTTGTAGTGCTGGGAACGGACGCCAGCATCCCAAGCATGCTAGGCAAGCACACTGCCCTTTACAGCCCAGCCCTACAAATGTAAATTAATACAAGTATTTATAAAGCTAGAGCAAAAGCTGCACATGAGTTCGTTACATAGGATGTGGACAGGTTGTTTATGTTCCAAACAGAAACACTCTAAAGGCCATGCAGCAGCTCCGATTCCAGCTGAGCTTTCTCTGCCCAGGTCAGCGTGTCATTTCTCGGCAGTGCAAAAGACAACACAACACATTGAATAACTGGGAAAATCACCGCTGAACTTGATTTCTGTTGAGCTTCCGAACAACTGTGTTCTGCTTTTTCAGGTGGCATCACTGTTAATTACCATTTCTGTTTGGGGACTGTGGTCCTTTATTATTGACCCCTTTATCCTGGTGTGTCTGTGTACTTTGTAAAGTACCAAAAAAGAAGGTGGTGGAGAAGGGTGGAAGACTTTTCTCATATAAATGTTTTGCTCAAATTATGTGTACTGTTTAAAAAGAAGGGAACATGACCTAGGAGTCTAAGTTGAATCTAATATTGTAGTACTAAACTTGCTGCAGGTGCAGGCTGGTATGCATCCCACCTCCAGAAGTATTTCCTGTAGTAAATAAGCTGCCCCCTTTTGTTTAACATGGGCATCTCCTAAGGAAATGTAGCATGATTGATACCAACTGCATGTGTAAATACATCATCCTGACAAACCACAGAATATAAATTATGTATCATTCATGTAGTGTCTACAGATTTGTACTGGGACAAAAAGATGACATGGTATTTAATAAAACAAAATAAAATATTCTTCACACTTCCTGTCCATGATTGTATTCTATTTCATGTATTTTCAGACTTAAAAGCAGCAGGGCTGTGTAATTGGGAGAGGTAACATATCCCCTAGGGCAGCTTAGCTAATCATGAAAAAATAAACATAAACTCTGTTTTCAGAAACATCCCAGTGTACTTCTCAAAAGTCCTCCCACTGTCCATTTGAGCACAGAAAGTCCTCCACTTCCTAAGTCTGGACAGAAACTTGACCAAAATCAATGCATCTATCTCATGACATTTGACTTTTGAAATTTTTAGTGTTTTTTAATATACTTTCAGGAATAAAACTTTCTACCAAATTTTTCTTAGTAAATTTTTAGAGTTCCTAATTTGCTTTTTTTTAATTAATGCTCATAAATAAAACAATCAAATGAGTAAAGAGATCCTGTAGGAATGTGTTTAAAACAGTTGAGTTTCCCATAGCCGACAGGAAGAATTTTTCAAAGGAAAATCAAACTTAACTCCTTATGTATTTCTATTGGATTGATAACATGTAACAAGATAAACAGAAAATACAGACTTAAAATAGTCACCATTTATAATTTCTGTTATCTCCAGGTAACACTATTGAGTAGACTTAAAACCAACAAAAACAGTCCTATTCTCTCCTCCATGGAGCTGCAGTGTGCAGCTCGACTTGCAATTCAGCACTGTTATAGTCCTTTGCAAGGTATACCATCCTTTGTATACCTGCCTTTGTGTTCTGTCAAGATAAGTCCCTAAGATTCCAAAGTTGAATGCTGGTATTGGGAAGGTAAGAGATGTGCCTTTGAAAATACACTGTGTTCAACCACTTCCAAAACAGACGAAAACAGCTACAGTCTACGCAGTACATTTATTTGGCGGAAGCAGCTTACAAATCTATTGTTGGACAACGCTCAGCCAATGTCCCAGACTCTGGCTATTGAGGGAATCGATACAGAATATACATTGAATATGATTTACAAAAAAATTCAAACGTTGCTCCTGCAAAGAAATATAGGATATTGAGTGAATTGACATTCAGTTCCATGGTGGATTACAGGTATTAACATCCTCCTTAAGTTGAACAGTTTTTGATGTAATATGCAGCAGATTTACAGCATAATCGTTACATAATTGGAATTAAATCTTTCTAAAACATTCAAACTTTAGGAATGAGTATGGTATTTCAAAAAAAAATTATGTAAAGAAAAAAATTAAGTAGCTCCTCCTGGGTGCAGCACATAAAACAGGTAAATAATTGAGAGAGCACACCAACTCCTTCCCACTAAGCAGCAGCTTCCCCACCTCCAAAACCTAATTTTAAAGAGGAACTAATACATCCGAATGAGGAAAGAAAGTTTCACACCAGACAGCAACATCCTCTTGTATTCCTGTCTGTCTACAAGGGTAGGTCCTCCTTCCCTGCAAGTTTGGCATCAGTCACATAGCTTGATTCACAGAATATACAAGGCAAGAAATCTGACCCTGTTGAGACAGAAACGACCTAAGTGCCTGAGGTGGCAAGAGAGAAAAACGTTGGCGACTACCACTTTAGGTAGAACCTTGTGTACACACTGACTTGCACGCGTTCACTGCGACTTTCCATAGGAACTACAAACCATAGAGGATTCATTGGGGTCTCCATCGTTTTAAGGAAAGGGATGTCCTGTTTTAGTGGGGAAATGAGGACTTAAAGCTGTCAGCTTTGACCATAGATTTTTATGCCAGATACATACCTGCTCTAGAGAGGGGGTTTTACATCTCGCCGCCTTCTCCCCGGGCGGATCGTGACCGGGAGAGTTTTAAGAGGGAAGGCATGGGAAGGAAAGAGGAAATTGCAAGATGAAGAAAGCCCCACAGGAGTTCCCATATTGTTTTCTCCAAGCCATTCTCGAAATCTCGCCAGGCCTCAGTCCCCTCAGCAGCCAGGCCGCAGTGGCATCTGCAACAGCAGCACTTGCCGGCTTTCTGAGGGGTGACACTTATTGATGTGCCGGGTCAGGCCCGGGGAGCTAAAAAAAGTGGATGGGCAGTACTTGCATGAGAAAATCTGCTGCGTGCTACCGTCGGACGCCCCTCCGGGGCCCGCTTCCGATGGAGCCCCGACCAAGGCGGGCAGTAGCAGCTCCTCGCGGACAGCGTGCCATAGCCGGTGCTTCTCTCGGATATCCGCGGACGGGAAGTGCGCCCCGCAAAGCGGGCACGCAAAGGCGTGCGGGGCTGTGCGCTCCGAGCCGAAGCCCGGGGCTGGTGCACGGGCCGGGCCCGCCTCGTGGGTGCCCAGGTGCTTGCGCAGATAGGCTTGGCGACGGAACTTTTTGTGGCAATACGGGCACACGAAGACCTCGGCTGTCGCCCCCGCGCTGGCACCGCCTGGCCCGGGACCGCGGCGCCCGAGCATCACCTCGGAGTAGGGGACCTGCGATCGTGCTGCCTCTGGGTGCACCAGCGCCTGCAGGCCTGGGAGAGTGGCGCTGTCCCGGTGCTGACCGGCCCCGGAGCTGTCCCGGGCCTGCGGGTGCTGATCGTCGGTCCGCAGCACGCGGCCGTTCTCCTTGCCCAATGCCAGGGAAGGGTCCGGAGGGGTCAACGGCGCGGAGGGAGGTTTACTCGCGGCGCAGGAGGGCGCGGGACGTGGCTTGTGCCAGCGGCGATGGGAGGCGAGGTTCGCGGGGCAGCTGAAGACCTTGTCGCACTCGGGGCAGCGGTACTCGACGCGCACGATGCGGGAGCAGCGGTGCTGAGCCAGCGCGAAGGGGTCCGCGTACTGCTGCTTGCACAGCTGGCAGATGAACTCCCCCAGCGGCGTGCGGACGCCGCCCAGAGCCCGCGCCGGCGCCCCGGGCTCCTCCTCCTTGATCTTTAGACCGAGCACCGGGGACGTGGTCACCTCGTCTGCGAAGCTCAGCCTCCTCACCGCCTTAGGCTTCCTGACGGCCGCGGGCGCCGCTGACACGCAGCCCAGGGCGCCCTTGCCGCGGCGCTGGAGACCCTGCGGGGCGGGCGCGGGCGCGGGGACGGAGACGGGGACGGCGGCCCGAGGCGGCACCAACTGCTCCCCCGAGGTCGCGGCCGCGGGCGCCGCGGAGCAGAAGGCGGTGGCGCTGGGGAAGGACTCGGCGGAGACGGGCGAGCGCAGGCAGCGCTCCAGGAACGCGCGGCGCAGCTCGGGGCCCGCCGGCCTCGCGGGGCTGGGTCCCGGGCCGTCTCCGCCACCCGCGCCCCACTCGGCGCCGTCCCGCGCGGGCGCGAGGCAGGGGGACCCCGACCGTCCCCGGGCGGGCTCGTCGGGCGAGGGCGGTGCAGCAGCGCGGGGACCCGGCGGCGGGAAAGGCGGTTCGGTCGGGCGCGAGCGGTAGGAGCTGCCCGAGCGCTTGGTTCGCTTCACCAGGAAGCCCCTCGGCATGGTGGGTCGGGTGCGCGGGCGAGCCCCGGAGCTAGGCGGGCTGGGCCGGGCCGGGCATGCGGCTACCGGCTTTATAGCTGAGACGCCGGGCCGGGCCGGGCTGGGCCCCTCGAGCTGCGCCGGCCAATCAGGAGTGGGAGCGGGTCCCGGGGCGGGGCCTTCGCCCACCGGGGCACCGGGACCGAGACGCGGGAAGACGAGCGGGCGCGAGGGGCTCGGAGCGCCCTGTCCAGCCCCCAGGGACCGCGCGCTGGGGAACCCGGCGCCACCAGCCCGCCAGGCGCGGGGAGCCGACCGAGCCCGCGCCGGGGCGTCGGGCTGAAAGGCTCGGCCGCCGCGGGGAGGACAGTGGAGGGACGGCCGCCGCGACAGGGCGGGAGTCGGTGCGGGAACGGGTTAACCGTCCTCCGTCGGGACTGAGCTGATGAGAAGCAGCGAGCGAACTGCGGGGCGGCGAAATCCACCGCCCTGTGCCTACACTTGACGGCGGGAGCACGTCTGCCATCCAGTATCGATCCGGACTGCGCGCGTCTGTGATACTATGAGAATTCATCTGGGGAGAAGGGCTCTCGGCGCCGCAGATCGTGCGTGCTGGCAAACCTCTGGAGCTCAGGACGCTGCACGGTTCGGGCACCGAGCTCTTGGCTGATAAGTGCCTCCTCCCCTGGGGGAAGAGGAGTGGGGAGGGGAAGGGATCTAATTTTCGGCTGTCCTCACATAAAGTGGTTTCTCTGTTCACACTTTCCACTTGAGCTACCCAGAGACATGACTTACTGCCTAACTGGCCTGTTTAGCATGGAGGAGATTGAGTGAGAAATGCTGGTAGAATCGGCATCGCATCTGCTTCCCTGGACATGACAAGAGACAACTGCAAAAGATGTTCTGGTAGACCAAACTCAACAGATTGTCGTCTGGCCCCCTGCCACCAGCCCGGCACTTGGTTGTTGTTAAGAACCGGAAGAGATTTGAAAGTTTGTGATACTAACTGAACAGTGAAATAATTAGCCAGTATTCGGCAGGGGTACGGTGCCAACCTTTGTAACAAAAACCTGTGTAATGTGAGAACAGGAAGGAGAAAGAACTGTGCTCAGTGCTCCTCACTCAACAAAACTGGCGGGAGAATCGGGCACAGTTATAGTGGAATTCCGGCTAAGAGTCCCGTCAGTGAAATAATTTTACATGGAGGACACTGCTTAAGGAAAGAGATACACACACACACACACACACACACACACACACACACACACACACACACCAGCAAGATGTCTACTCTACGCAATAGGTAGATTAAGCCAGAAAGACAGCAGATGACTAGCAAGAGTTACACAGTACAAATTCAAGCCAAAGCCTTGCAGATTCCAATACCTTTCTATTATACCTGTAACTTCAAACTACTTCTTTAACTGACTCTCACACTGAGCAATAAGTCCTACAGTAGACACACACACTAGATTCTCGGGTTTTCCGATCAGTCCCCTTGTATTCTAAGGACTGGATTAAGAACAGCAGTTAGGGTGCTTCCCGTTAGAGAGCATGGAGTCGTGTACAGTAAGTGTGATATTTTGCAATCAAAATTCATATCCTGAATGATTAAAATGCTAGGATCCTAAGCAGGTTGATAAACTCGGTTTCCAAGTTGATCATTTCTAACATGTCCGTTATGTATGACACAACTTCTAACTCAAATTTCTCTCAGTCCTTCCTTTTATTCTTCCTTCTCATGACCCAGAAATATTCGTGATGTGGAAAGACAGGTGAAGGGTTCTAATACTTTAAGATAGACCCTTGCCAGGAAGGCTTTTTCCCCTGACCCAAACAGCATCGCCACATGTTATCCAAACGCTCCAGTAGTCTCCCCGCCCCCACCCCTTCAGTAACAACCGTCTGGGAAATGATACAGCAGAGTACACCAGGGTGTTTAAAAAACATCCTTAATCTGCCACTTTCTTGGAAACACTTGTGAAGAAATGTTTACCATCTAGTATTGGTGATTGTAGATAATCTGAAATTACCTCAAGGAAATCATTGTGAAGCTGAAGGTGATGAGTTAGCCATAAGCATCAGATAAAAGTACATCATGACGTTAAGGGTAAGAGCAGGACATGAAGGTGCTCATGTACTACAGAGCTCAATTGTGGAAGAATAAAATGCTTACACTGGGAGGGAAGGGTGCCAAAATATTGTTGCAATGTTCATCTATTTAGTAAGACTTTAAAGAGTTTTTGGATCTTTTAAGCGCCCTGCAAAAAGTATACATGACTGGTGATCAGAAAAAAAAAAAAGAATACATCACAAAAAAGACTAGGGTTAAATGTTGCAGCTTTCCCCAGGACGCCCCGAACATCAAATGGAGACTTGTATAGTTATCCAACACTCTCTGTGTCCCTGACACAGAGGTGACAAGCTCTGCCATGTAGACCTTCCGCATGGAGAGCACTCCTAAGAGTTGAAAAATAGAAAGACTTGAAAAGTTGGTAAAGGAAAGAAAGGTCCTGCTGCACACCTCCCACTTGGGAGAAACCTGGAGGGTTCTTCTCAACACCAGCAATCCTTTCTGTTTTCTCACTAAAACATTAAGACACAGAGGGGGGATCCCAGGAAGTGTGTGAAATCTTTGTGGTATCCACCTCCTTTCTCTTAATACTGCCAACGTGTTCCTCCTTTTGAACACACAGGACCTTCCTCTGCTCCATTAACACTTTGACCAAAACACGTACATGCTGAACATCTCTCCAGATTTAGTTCTCTAGTTGTGGAATAAATCTGACTTAAAGTCAGAAATTCTGAAGGAAGAAAGGGGAAAGGATGGTAGAAAGGAGAGTCCTGGGGAGAAAGGGGGCAGGAGAGGGCATGAGCCCAGTGCAATCCACACACACTGTACTGCTTAGTTTTTGTCAGTTTGGCATGAACTAGAGTCACCTGGGAAAGAGGGAACCTCATTTTCGGAGTTTCCCACATCATATGAGCCTCTGGACATATCTAGGGGTCTTTTGTTTGTTTATTTGTTTGTTTTTGGGGGTTTTTTTTTGTTGTTGTTTTGTTTTTCGAGACAGGGTTTCTCTGTGGAACTTTGGTGCCTGTCCTGGATCTCGCTCTGTAGCCCAGGCTGGCCTCGAACTCACAGAGATCCGCCTGGCTCTGCCTCCCGAGTGCTGGGATTAAAGGCGTGCACCACCACTGCCGCCGCCGCCGCCGCCGCCACCACCACTGCCACCACCACCACCACCACCCAGCCGATGGGTCATTTCTTGATTAATGATGGATATAAGAGGGCCCAGGCTCCCCTCCCTAGGAAGGTGGGCCTGAACTGTATAAGAAAGCAAACTGAGCATATCAAAGGGACCAAGCCAGTAAGCAGCATTCTTCTATGTCCTCTGCTTCAGTCTGCCTCCAGGTCTCCACTTCCTTTCATGACGGGCTGTAAGCTGGAAGATGAAATAAACCCTTTTCTCTCTAAGTTTCTTTTGGCCATGGTATTTATCAAATCAATAGAAAGCAATTTAGGACACACTATATATGTGCACGGAAATGCCATCATGAAACCCACTTCTTGTACAAACAATATAACATCATCACAGCAAAATAACTCAAAAATTGGGAAAATATTTTGGAAGAAAGAAGACCCCTCTTGCCCTGAAATCATGGTGTATATGAGACAGGCTCAGGGGCCAGTCCTTTTTAATCTCTTGACTGTCTGGGGCTTGCTGAGGAACAGGTTTATTTCTTCTGTTTCCTACCCCGTGACTTCTGCTTACAAATGGTCCTGTAAAAACTAACATCATTTGTCACTATTAGAGGTCATGGATCACAAGAACTTGAAAGTCAACCATAGCTCCAGAATCTAATAGTGAAATACCGATATTTTCCCCTAAACTTAATCCTGTCTAGGTGTCTCATTCCTGTGCCAAACCCCAGAATCTTTTGGCTCAAGCTGCCACATACTCATCCCATTAGCAGTCCTTACCATCTCCACCTTCAGAACATTTCCTGACTCTGCTGGCTCCTTCTCGGGTTTCCCATTGTTACATTCAGCCTGCTGCCTCTACCACCCTCTGCCCTATGCTCTTCAGAGCAGAAGGAACCTCACTATTTTGCTCCTTTGCTTGGAAATGTCAGGTGACTTCCCACCACATTTAAAGTCCAAAGACATCAACTCACTTACAAATGTGTCTGGCGTGTTCATAACCAGGCCCCTGGTTGTTTGGTTAATTGGATGGTTTTCCTCAATGCTGGAGATTTAACCCACATGCAGGTGGTTCACCATTGAACCAAGTCCCCAAGCCCCTACCCTCACTATTTTAAACCACGTTTCCTACCCCGCTGCTCCTCACTCCATCTATCCCATCCGCACTGGTCTTCTTAATTTCCTCAGATGTGGCAAGCACTCTCCTACCTTTAGCTGTTTTCATCTGCTAGTGCAGAGGTTCTCAACCTTCCTGATGCTGTGACTCTTTAATACAGTTCCTCATGTTGTGGTGACCCCCAACCATAAAAGTATTTTCATTGCTACTTCATAACTGTAATGTTGCTACTGTTATGAATTGTAATGTAAATAACTGTTTTCCTATGGTCTTAGGTGACCCCTGTGAAAGGGTCGTTCGATTCCCAGAGGGATCATGGCCCACAGGGTGGGTCTAGGTAGCCATCATGCTCCTGGGATTCAGTCTCTGCTTCCAGAGAGCTGGGATTACAGGCAGGCTCATGTCCACCCAGCTTTTATGTGGGTGCTGGGGATCCCACCTGCCTACCCAGCTTTTATGTGGGTTCTGGGGATCCCACCTGATCACCCAGCTTTTATGTAGGTGCTGAGGGTCCCAACCCTGCTCCTCATGCTTCTGGGGCAAGTGCTTTATCCATGGAGCCGTCTCCCAAGCCCCCAGTAACTATTTTTTTAATTTCATATACAAAGAAATGGGTTTGATAGTGCCATTTTCATGCATATACTTCATTTTTATCCCATCACACCCCTCTTCATCCCCCCAACTCCTCCTGCTGTCCCCCTTCCCTTCCACCTCAAGTCTTCATTTTGGAAAGGTAAGTTTAAGGGCTGTCTTGGAGCAAAGCTGTGGGGCTGAGGAGATAATGTGGAAAAATTGAGAGGAAAATGAACTGTGAGGCGAGTAGGCCAAGCCAGAAAATACGATAGGACATGATAAAAGAGAATGTGGGCCTAATCATTACAATGCTGAATATATTTAAATAATTGATTGAAAACTGTGTAATTACACTTATCTGAGTGTTCTTCCCATGTTAAGCCGTAAAGCAGATGCACATTTGAAAAACTTGAGAGTGGAGAGAATGTACCACTTGACCTTCACTTGGCTGTGAAAGGCTGGCTGCCTTTTGAAACCCGGATTCATTTCAAGAACCATAAGTAATGAGAAAATAGCCAGCTTGAACTCACAGGAAAGGGTTTCCAGTGCCGTAAGATGTCACATAGGAGAGGCATCTTCGTTTCCAGTGTGCAGGGTGCCTGCTGGGTCATTTCAGCCAGCCTTACCGGGACACAGTCTTCCCCTTCCAAGACAGCTCACACACCGGTTGTGCCCGGTGTGTAGCACTCCCACATCACAGGTACTTAAAGCCTTTGTCAGTGTGTACAGGATAGCTCCCAAATACTATTACAGATTCTCCTGTGAGCATACTTCCTTCCCTCCTTCCTTCCAGTCTCAAGAGAATAAGTACTTTCTGAAATGGATTCACTGCACAGGAAAAAAAAAAAAAACCCTCAGGTTTGAATCCTAGCACTGCCATTTACTGGAAAATTTAAAATGTTTTTCCTTGGCTCCCAATTAGGCATTGCAATATATAGAATAGAATTACACGAGATAAACTAGAATCCTCTGCAACATTGGCTCATGGTCTCATGTGTCTTGGGAATCCAAGTCTCCATAGCTGGTGGTGTAAACTCACAAGGGCGGAGACAATCCAGTCCACTCTTTGTCTTACAAATAATGTATGTATGCTTGTTCCGAACAAGCATCCTGAGCACCTTGGACCCTTGATGAAAGCATCGCCTGGCTGGGGGAGTAAGGCCTTGTCAGTCTTTATTTGCATATGTACACTAAGATCCAGTTCACACGCTTGAAAAGAGTATGTGTTTTGCAACTAAACATGCCAAGTCTAGGGAAGTGTATCTAGGTGCCGGCCCCACGTGGCAAGTTACAGATTTTTCTTTGTGGTCTCTCAACTTCTACTGCATACAGTCTCAAGACTCACAGTCTCAAGATTCATATTAATTAAAGCCACATCTGTTTAGCTGGCTGAACCGTTCACCACCATCAACTCTCATTGTCCGCAGGAAGGTTTTCTGCCGTCAAGTGCATTGGCTGGTTGGTTCATTTGGGAGACACATCAGCTTTCTTTCGGTTGTTGTCTCCAAGGTACACATCTTCATTTTCAACCTTTCTCTACCATTACGTCTTCAATGAGTCCTACTAATAACAGTCCCTATGGTTTTTTGTTTGTTTTTGTTTTTAGCCAGTGATGGTTTTAACGTAACTGAACTTTCAGCCCCTTTCCTGTGCCTAATGGCTATCCTATTTGGAATGATATCTGCCCTCTCTCCAAAGGCTTTGCATTTGCCCAATTACATTTCTTTTTCTCTCCTCTTTTCTGGCTTGTTAGATTAGTATCCAGTTCTTATACATACAATGCCTCTTAACCAGTTTTAAACCTTCACATACATTCCTTTCTGGTTTTTACAACTAGATAACGCTCTAATCAAGCAGAATCCTTCTTTGATAATAAAAGGACCTTAGACCACCTGAACACCACCTGTGGTTTCCTGACTCACGCTACACTCATGCTGTGTGGTTGAACACTCTATGTTCGAAGTCCACAACATGGGCCGAGCTCCATCCCAGCACCACATCGGGGTTCATAGCTGTCTAGAACCAGCTCCAGGAGAGCCAGTAACCTCTGGCTCTCCATGGGCACACAGACACATAAAAAAAAATTGAATCTTTAATATAAGAAGTGCAAGGTCCCTCTCAGCTTGTACATCAGCCTTTGGAGATCCTGTCTCCAAAACAAAACAGACTTAATTTATTGGTATATATTTACATGTGTGTGCATACATAGATTGAGCAGTGGCAAAATAGATTAGCTGCAGTATATCTGAAATGTTTTTATTTTTAACAGTCAGCCATTATATTTACATTGATTTGTTTTGTGCATGTCTGGTGGTCAAAAGACAATTGATGGGAGTCAGTTCTCTCCCCCCCACGTAGAGCCCTGGGTTCAAGCAGGACAACTGTGTCAACTCACTGACCCTGAAATACCCTGTTTTATCTATTATAGAAACTTAGCTTAAGAGTCATTGTATTTTTAATTGTAGAAATGTGTGTATGTCTGGGGTGGGAGGTGAGTGCAGGTGCCCATGGAGGCCAGAACAGGAAGCTGGGTGCTGGAAATAAAAATGGGACCTCTGCAAGGGCAGTGCGTGCTCTTCGCCACTGAGCGTCCTTCTGGGGTTTTCGGCTAGCACAACCGTAACCCCATAGCACTGTTTATAGCCCATGTGTACCAGAGGAAAGGTAAGTGTTAGTCGCTGCTGCTCTTCTGAAAGTAATGTGCCTTTATCCCGGCTGTTTTTAATATTGGGTTGAGAGGGAAGTCAGGGCTCTTCTGTGACCTTTAAAATTCTGTTAAAATATTTAAAACTTCCAGCTGCCAGTTATAAACACACAAGAAAACGAAAGCTTATACACTGAGAACCGGAGAGTTTTATTTCACTGTCAAAAAGCAAGGCAGTCTGAGGGGCCGAGTTGATGGATGGTTCCATGGTTTAAGTGTCCACTAGAGTCCAGATCCCAGAACCGACCTAATGCCTGCCAGCGGTCTTGGCCTGCCTGTGATTCCAGCCCACACTCCACAGAGCAAGCTGGCTGGCGGGACCAGACATCCCCGCAAAGTCCAGGTTGGATGGGGAGAAGGGAACACAACAACACAAGGAGTGATCCAGCGCGATTACCGACAGCGACCTCAGGCCTCCACAAGCACGTGCGCCCACACACGTGGGTGCCCACACACATACAAACACGACACACACTTGCAAACCACGTGTATTTGTACGCACATGAACATGAAAACAACAGTAGCGTGATCAGCACTTTGCCCTTTAAGTAGTGTTTGTCGCTTCACGTCCTTCCTGTGTCAGGGTGACTGGTCCCACCCCTCTTAAATTTAGATCGGCATCTATTGTTGGACGGTTCATTTTTTTTTTCACTGTTGTAAAACATTCCTGTATTCACGATATATCCTTTCATGTGGAGTTTTTCTCTCTTTGGGGACATATTCGTGCTTTTTGTCACAGCTTCGTTCCTGGGTGGTGGTGGTGGTAACTTGCCTGCACCAAGCTTCTCTGAAACGTTTCTCGGAGCAGCAGCGGGACCTGCGCCCCACCCCCACCCCGTCAGTCTTCTGCCGTCACGCGTGTGTTCCACTCAGAGACTGTAGCAGCACTGCCCTGTTCACTGCTCCATCGTGCCTTCGTCTCTCCTGGCCACTTCCTGCTCTTCAATTCTGTCTGCTTCTGTAAAACGTCGTGTGGGTGACATGGAAGGATCACAATGGTAAGCCTCAGTGTGAGCGTATAACAGATGCATGGGGACCGATGGTCAAGCCGGCCAGCCACTGGTCCTGAGGCACACCTGTCCTGTGCATGAGGTGCAATGTCTGTGCGTGTCTGTGCACCGGTGAACGATCATGGCATGGGGTTGACAGCTGACACAGTGTGGTGACTGAGAACTGAATTATGCTGCTGTAAGATCTCCTATTGAACCAAATAATAGGTATTGAAATTTGAGTCTATAGAAACGATGCACAAAAAAAAATCCCACTTGGTACATTGACAGACAGGCTTAAATCTGATAAGAAATAATCCATCTAAATTTTCATCAGATAATGAATCTTACATCACCAAAAAAAAAAAAAAAATCCATCTTTGCATGTTGAGGCGGTTCCTAAATCTTTGTTATTTGACAACATCAACCTTAAAATGCATCCTAGAGTGATAGTGTTAGCAATCATGATAGGTTCCCTGAGGACCTCATAGTTTAAAGCCAAGCATGGTAACACGAATCTGTCCCCCTGGCACTTAGGAGGTGGAGACATGGGTTCAGGGTCATCTCTGGCTACATATCAAGTTTGAGGCCAACTTGGGATACACAAGGTCCTGTCTCATAACAAACAAACAAGATCCCCACAGTTTGATACTACGAATTATCCAGCACGTTTTCATTAATTGTTGGTGCACACGTAATTTCGATTTGCTCATCCAGCCACTTGCAGTCACAGTGGAGTGGAGTTCAGCGTCCGATAAAACATAAATAGCATAGGCTGTCTTCAAGACCGTCACAGAGGTCCATTCGATGGCAAGCCAAGAGGTGCTGGCTATCCCAGGTCTTGCTGTTGGCTGGTGTGATCTCTCTGTCTGTCTGTCTGTCTGTCTGTCTGAACCAGCAGTTGCTTTTTTTTTTTTTTTTGCAAGTCTTCCTGTTCTCCATAGGAGTTACCAAAGCTGGTCTTTCATGTACTTTGCATTTTTTGTTTTATGATTACAGGTGTGTGTGTGTGTGTGTGTGTGTGTGTGTGTGCCGGGGGGGGGGGGGGCACACAGCACTGCATATATATGGGAGTCAGAGGGCAACATTATAGAATCCATTCACCCCTTCCATCTTTACATGGGTTCCAGGAATCAAATTAGGTGATCAGGTTTGAATGGCAAGTCCCTTCCGCAGCTGGGCAACTACTTCCTATTTTATTATCTTATGGTCTGAAGCTGTGAAACCCAATATCTGAAGTCCTCATGGCTCTTTGGGTTATTGTTTATTTGATGGAGTTGGTTTCTCGGTCTATGTGATCAAGCTTGCAGGGGAAGGGTTGTTTGGACAGTGATTTCAGGCCCAGGATGAAGGTATCACATTTCAGAGAGGATCTGAACTTGCTTCTGCTGGAAGAATGCTTTCACCTGAGTTCCAGGCTTGAGACTCAGTGAAAGGCAATTTGACTAAACCAATAAAAACTGAAAGGCTTGGGTCCCAGCGTCTTGTGGGGGAAGATCTTCTGTCAGACCTCCTCCTTTATCTAGGTCCTGGTTTCTGTCTCTCTTGTCCTTCACATCTGTCAAGACAGATCTTCTGATTATCATGGGCGGGGAAATTCCGTCAGGGAAGAGCAGCATTCTGTGCTTACCAGCCATCTTTTCTTCACGGTGGCCTAGTAACACTGTCCTTTCAGATCTTTTTGTGCTTTAAGAATGTTACAATGGGGGGCTGAAGAGATGACTCATGGTTAAGAGCTCCGGCTGCTCTTTCAAAGGTCTTGAGTTCAATTCCCAGCACCCACATGGCAGCTCACAACTGTTTGTAACTCCAGCTCTAGGGGATCCAGCATCCTCACCCAGACATGAATGCAGACAAAACACCAATGCACATAAAATAAAATCTTTTAAAAAAGAATGTCGTAGGGGCTGGAAAGATGACTCAGCGGCTAAGAGAACTTGCTGCTTGTCCGAAGGACTCTAGTTCAGATCCCAGGACCCATGTCAGGCAGCTCACAGCCACCTCTAACTCCAGCGACAGAGGATCCTGCACCCTCTTCTGACCTCAGCAGACATCTGCACATATGTGGCATACATACTCATAGACACACACATACACGTAAATAAAAATAGAGTTTTTTCAAACTTTTTATTGAAAAAATTTTCATACTGAAAGACCCCCGACTGGAGTCTTCCCTCTGGAGAGACCCTCGCCCAGAGATTACACCGAGACCACAAGTCAGATGCAAACAGCAAGAGGCTTTATTCAGGAACACGGGTACCCGGGGCGATACAGTCCCTCCAGAGGCTGAAGAGACTGGCGCGCCCACGGGCTGGAGTGGAGGGTTTTTATAGGGTTGGGCAGCGGAAGGGCGGGTACAGAAGCAGGAAGCATAGTTTACAGGGTTCTGATTGGACGATTCGTATGAGGCCAGGTTCAAACTCAGGACAGCTCGTGGTTTTTCCCCGAGCTCGACACGCCTGCTGACTTGGCTCTCATCCAGGGTACAAGTTGTTTTTCTGACCTCTAGTTACTTTTCAGGCCCTGCTCAAAAATGGCGTTAAGCTAAGCAAGTATGCTGGGGCCCTTCATTCCCCCATTTTCTTATCTCAGGGAATGGAATCCTCCATTCATGGGGAAGAATAGGGATGTGGCTCCATTTCCACCTGGTTGAGTCGTTGGTATTGTTGTGTCAATACCAAGGTCTGAATAGTAGAAACGCGTTCCCTGATAAATTGGACAAGTCTGTTTAGGATACAGGGCCCGAGCGTCAGAAGGAGCAATAAAATCAGAAGGGGTCCCATAAGGGTGGAGATGAGGGTGGTGAGCCAGGGGGACCTTCTGAACCATCCTTCAAACCATCCCTGCTGTTCTTCAAAGAGTTTTTGTCTTTGCTCTAATCTTTTTCTTAATCTAGCCATGCTATCTCTCACCACCCCAGTATGATCCGCATAGAAGCAACATTCTTCTTTAAGGGCGGCACATAACCCCCCCTCCTGCAGAAAGAGGAGGTCTAATCCCCTCCGGTTCTGCAGAACTACTTCAGACAGGGAGGTGAGTGACTTTTCCAAGGCACTCACGGATTCCTCCAGTACCTGGATATCGGTATGCATGGCAACCTGGAGTTGTCTGAACTGGTTGGTTTCCATGAGGGCAGTGGTACCTGTGCCTATTCCGGCGGCGACTCCTCCCATAGTTAACCCACCTAGTATCAGGGCCAGGGTTAGCGAGACTGGCTCCCTTTTTATACGGGGGACCCCTGTCTCATATCGGGCATAGATATCTTCAGGTGCACGGTAGACTATCTTGGGGTACAGTTCTATGAGCACACAATAATCGGCCATGTTGGCTAGTATTGAGGAGGAGAGGCATGGTGTAAGTCCAGTGCTACAGGCCCAATAAGTCCCGTTGGGAGCCACGAGATAGTGGGGTCCTGGAACAAGTGCCTGGGTGCGATTACACAGGTGTTGGTGGGTGTAGGGTACTATCCCCAGACATAGTCCTTGTCCTGACACCTCGGAGATTGTGAGCTTATGCTGAGGTGTCGAGGCACATCCTGACGGGGGTGAAGAAGAATTGGTGAAGCTTCCGACTACGGCCACCCCCTCATAATAGGGGGGTGTGGAGACTAGGCATAACCAGCATTCCTGAGTCTGATTTGGGTTGGTAACATTGAGGGCTGAGTAAGCGCCCTCTATAAGATTCAATAGCCGGTCTCCCGTACCGGGCCTGGGTGGCTGGAGGGTGACTGGGGTTATAGTGGCATTCGGAGCCGTGCTTGGGCGAATGGCCGAATTGGGTCGGGGGGTAGCCCTCGGGGGTGCCGGAGCGGGTAAAGAGGGGCGCTTTTGGTCAGAGAGAACCTGGTTGGGACCTATAGAGGCGGAGGGCTCTGTGATTTTAAGCCTAATCGTAAACACGACTCCCTGGTCCCATCCCGTCATGTAAAGTCTAAGTCCCCATGTTCTACCTTTAATCCAGTCTTGTGTTATCTCCCTTCCCTTTTGAGTAAAAGATATATTCAGGGGGTTGCAGGTGAAATTTACACAGGGCCCCCCCCCTTTCCAGTAAGTGTTATCTCTTCCTGACGTGACAGTTCCCCAACAACGTCCTTGAGTAAGAGGACGCCATGAGTGGCTTTCTCTTTGGGTAGCCCTTTTTACCCTAATGAGGTCCCAAGTGGATGAAGGCTCCCAATAGGTATTACCAGTTGTTTCACATCCCCATGCTTTACAGAAGTAACTTTCATAACCCCCACATTGTCTAATCATCTTTCTGTCCCTACCATCCCGGGGACAGACGTAAAAGGATAGTTGTGACAGGGCTGCTCTGGTTTCAGGGTGACCACATCCATATCTCCCGTCACTACATTTGCAAGTTCCCTTACCATCCTGACAGACGTCTGGTGCTCTGGGGTTCATGGGGTCAGTGGTAGGGATGTCCCAGTCCCCTGACCCTGCTACTAGTTGGCAGAGATCTGGATGCAAGTTGGGCCACCATGTGAAGGGGGTGTGAAGGGCGGTCGTTTGCCAGACCATCTCCCCAGTTTGTGAGATAACCTGCCAAGTGAGCCTCTTAACTAGGTGCGGGCTCTCTGCCGCCCTAGTCCCCTGGGGGTAGGCAGAGATTAAGAGGAGGGGGAGGAAGAGGAGCCGTGGGCCAACCTTATTTTTAGGGGGTTTCGTGTGCGGCGCACTGTCCATGTTGACTTTCTGGATCCTGCTGGGTCGGGTTCCCTGGCAGCCTTCACATGCGAGGCGTGGATCCATGCAGTAATCCCGTCGACCTTGAGTGCAGTGGGGGTGGTCAGCAAGACAGTGTAGGGCCCCTTCCACCGTGGTTCCAGATTCTTGGTCTGGTGTCGTCGGACCCAAACGGAGTCCCCGATCTGGAAGGGGTGGGGCACCACCGGCTTGTCTAGCTGCTCCTGGTAGGCCTTGGCCAGGGGCTTCCAGATCTCCCTCTGCACCAGTTGGAGGGCTTGAAGATGTGCCTCTAAAGTAGGGGTGGTAGCAAAGGAGGAAATATCAGGATGGAGAAAGTCTACAACAGGAGGTGGGGCCCCATACATGATCTCAAAAGGGGTTAGGCCGTGTGGGCCAGGAGTATTTCGGGCTCGGTAGAGAGCCAAGGGAAGTAGGAGCACCCAATCTCTAGTGCCAGTTGCAAGCGTTAATTTGGTTAAAGTCTCCTTGATTGTTCTATTAGCTCGTTCTACCTGTCCTGAGCTCTGGGGACGGTATGCACAATGGAGTTTCCAATCAACCCCCAATAGTTTGGCCACCTTCTGACTTACCTGAGAGACGAAGGCAGGCCCGTTATCCGACCCCAATATTTGAGGCATCCCGTACCTGGGGAAGATTTCTTCCAACAGTTTCTTTGTTGCCACATTAGCCGTCTCATTCTTGGTTGGAAATGCCTCGATCCATCCAGAAAAAGTGTCCACGAAGACCAGGAGGTACCGGTACCCATAGAGTCCGGGTTTTACTTCTGTAAAGTCTATTTCCCAATGAACACCAGGACGATGGCCTCTTTGGCGGGCCCCCTTGTTTAGATGAACCTTTCCTGCGTTGACTTGAGCACAGGCTGGGCAGGTAGAAGTTACCTGCTGAAGTACCTGATCCTGGTTCAGCAGCACTGTCCAGGTGTTTTCTCTGTCCAATAGGGTCTTCATCTTGTTTTTGCTCAAATGGGTCAAAGCATGGAGGAATCTTAGCATGTATCGGGTATGGGAGGTTGGCATGACCATCCGGTCCCCTAGTATATATGCCTGTCTTCCTTGTTCCCAGTCCGCCCCCATTTTCTTTGCTAGCTCATGGTCTTCTGGGCTATAGGGCACGGGGTCTCTCTCAGGCTGTGGTTCTTGTATGGCCATCAACTGGCTGCTCCCTGCTGGCTGGGAAGCCACTGTTCGGGCAGTCAGATCCGCCAGCCGATTCCCTCTGG